GCGCCCTCCTCGCCGCGGCCGCTCGGCCCCTTCTCGGTGGGAGGACTACTGAAGCTGCCCGAGGACGCGCTGGTCAAAGCCGAGAGCCCGGAGAAGCCCGAGAGGTCCCCGTGGATGCAGAGCCCGCGCTTCTCCCCGCCCCCGGCCCGTGAGTAGCCAGAGCCCGGGCGGCGAGGCCAGGGAGGGGCGGGGAGAGAGGGGTGCGGGGGGCCCGGCCAGTCTCGGGGCTCCCGCGTACCCCGGGGCCGTGCGGCCCGGTGGCTTTGGCGGCTGAGGCCGGGGTTTGAGCCTCCAGCCGGCCCACGCGGGGAGAGAGTTCGAGACCCGGGGTGGCCACGAGCCCCACGCCCTGGCGCGGCGGCGGGTCACTTGTAGGACGCGGGCGCCGGGCGCGCGAGGAGTGGATCGCGGTGGGACCCGGAACCGGCATCCCGAGCCAAGGCGCCCCGCCGCGCGGTTTCACTTTCTCCGACCCGGACACCCCCCCCCACACACACACAATGCAAGGTACCCCCTCCCGTTACGGGTTTCGGAAGCTTCTACTCCGCCCCTCCCCACTTCAAGTTTGAGATTGATCCTTGGTGCTCAGGGCAGCAGATGGATGGTTTAGGGGGGTGGGGGCACCAGACTGGGGACTGCACCCCGTTTTCATCGTGTCCCAAGCTCCCCTCCCAGCGTCCCTCCGACTCCCCACCTTCCCACCCCCACTCCCCCAGGACCTCAGCCGCCCGCCGCGCGTTCCGGAGCCTCGGCAGGCCTCCGCGCCCCGCGAAGCCTCTCCGAGATATTTCAGGAGCACGGGAAATTCCCAAGTTTTCCTCGCTTCCTTCGATTATGTGGCACTGCAGAATAGCCCTCACGATTTCCATGGCGCGAGGCCCAGCCGGGATTTCTATCTGGGGATTAAACGAGGGGGAGAAGCCAGCCAGCCCCTCCCTGGGCCTAAGGACAGAAGAAGGTCTGCCCCGGTGCCCGGGCCACAGACGCACAGACGGACATTTCCCGCGGAGCCCGCCGGCTCCTCCGCTAGGCCCGGCCAAAAGCCAGTCCCTGGCCAACTGCTGCCCAAATTCACGGGGGCCTGGGGAGAGTGGGAGGGGGTGTTGTTTGACTCACATCCTGGTGGTCTGAGCCCAAATAGCATTCTCCTTCCCCCTTTTAAAACACAAACTAAAATACACTTGGGCAAAACCCGCATGCTGAAACACTGGATTTCCACTCGCCTTCGGGAAACAAAGCGTCATCCACCATCGGAGAAGGAATTTGGTGTAGGGCCTTGAGCCCTGGGACCCCCAAATCAATGGGGTCCCTGGGAATCATTGGTTGTGTGGACCATGATAACAGGCAGTGGTGGCTATTTCTCTAACTCGGGGCCCAGTACTGGCTCTCTGCCCTTACTGGAGATTTATCTAGAAGCCAGAAGACAAACACCGTTGGCTATATTGTCAGGAAATGGAGCCCAAAGTTCGGGAGTGGTTGCATTGCCTCCCCCCAACCCTCAGATTTAGCACTGCAGGGGATGGGGGCACTGAGAGAAGACCAAAGGGAAACGGAGAGAAGCAACTGGCCAGTTAAAATGGAATGCCTCCCTTCTTCATCACCCCAACTTGCAGTTTATATATTTAAAGGTTGGCCACAGTGTGACCTCTGAGTTTTCTTCTCCCCAAGAACCTTGTAGGAATGGGGCTGTTGCAGGGGGGAAGAGGAAGGGGTTCCAAGTTCCCCTCTGCCTCTGAGAGGTCCACCCCAGTGCTCATCCCTGGCTGAGCACAAATGTTTGGCCCCAAACTGCATAAAACTCATGACCCTTGGGCCGGGCACAGACCTGTTTCTGCGCCACCAGCTTTAGCTGGTGAGTGACAGCCGGGTGAGGCCTGCTGCCATCCACCTCTGCCCAGCTGTGTTCTGGCCTCCAACATGCTTATATTTCCTCTGGCATCGCGGTGTATTTGCAAAAACAAAAAAAAGTGGGCCAGAACGTCTGCCCCGGAGGGTTATGGAGTGAATATGAAAAAGAATATTTTTTTTCAAGTGTTCCTGGTGCGTGGGGAACACGAGAGCGCGGCACAGATCGGTGCTGACTTAGGTTACTCTCTTGTCAATACTCCCTTGCGATCTGGTCTCTCCCCCGCAAGCTCTAACCCCCTGCCTTTCTCTCTCACGGCCCCCTAGGGCGGCTGAGCCCTCCGGCCTGCACCCTACGAAAGCACAAGACCAACCGCAAGCCGCGGACCCCCTTCACCACGGCGCAGCTGCTGGCGCTCGAGCGCAAGTTCCGCCAGAAGCAGTACCTGTCCATCGCCGAGCGCGCCGAGTTCTCCAGCTCGCTCAGCCTCACCGAGACGCAGGTGAAGATCTGGTTCCAGAACCGCCGCGCCAAGGCCAAGAGACTGCAGGAGGCAGAGCTGGAGAAGCTGAAGATGGCAGCCAAGCCCATGCTGCCACCCGCGGCCTTCGGCCTCTCCTTCCCCCTGGGCGGCCCGGCCGCGGTGGCGGCGGCCGCCGGCGCCTCGCTCTACAGCGCCTCTGGCCCCTTCCAGCGCGCCGCGCTGCCGGTGGCACCCGTGGGACTCTACACGGCGCACGTAGGCTACAGCATGTACCATCTGACATAGGCGGGCCAGCCGCTCCTCCAGCCCGCCGCCCCTACCAGCAGGAGACCACCCCCCTGCCGCCCTGGCCCTTTCTCTTGAAACCCCAGCTCCTGTGCTTCCGGTTACTTCCTGAATTCTCTCCCAAGTCTGATCCCCTTCCACAAAGTGGGTCCCTTCGAACGCTTCTAGAACCTAGGCCTACACACCCGCCAGTTACAGATGGGGAAACGGAGGCCCTAGAGGCTATGATGTATTCAAGGTCCCTAACACAATTTTCAGGCTGAAGGGGACTGGAGAAGACATCTCCCGCCGCCGCGTAGACAGAAACCAATGCGGGGAAGCAGCAAGAAATGAACGCGGGATGCGTTTGGAAATGAGGACAGTCCTAGACACAGAAGACTGTGAAGGGGAGATGGATCCCAGGGCCTGGCACTGGAAAACAAAGTTTCAGCAGCAAAACCTTGCTCAGTGTGTGTGGGTGTGTGTGGGTGTGTGTGGGTGCATGCATGCATGCATGCGTGTGGGGAGGTGGGAGAGTGTGCACAGATGCGTGGCACAGGTAGATTTGAAGGAACTTTTCTCTTACCAGGACCAGAAAAAAAATGTGTAAAAAAAAATCTGTTTCTATTTAACAGTACATTCTCGTGGCTCTCAAACACCCCTTTGGAAGGGACTGTGTGTACTATGTAATATACTGTATATTTGAAATTTTATTATCGTTTATATTATAGCTATATTTGTTAAATAAATTAATTTTAAGCTACAAAAAAAATCTCTGCCCAGTTCACTCCTGTATTTTAACTGCGCTTCTTGCTGTCTCTTCACATATGCAATTGCTTTCCAGCTGGGTCATAGCTTTATAGGAGCAACTTTCAAAGACGATGAGAAGTCTCCAGAAATAAAGGGACTGTCTTTTGGGGCACACGGGACAGATCTACCTTAGCAGAGTCAAGTGGAGAATTGAAGCAATTACCTGCGATAATTAGGCTCAATTTTCCAATTCACTTTAAGCTGAAATCGACACTTGCTCAGGCGACCCGTAACTGACTCTTTTCTTTTTTTCTCCGCGTTTAACCTGTCTATGAAAACAAAGTGAATTGCCCAAATGGTTTGATGACTGTAGACAGCTAATCCAGACAAGTCCCACCTCCACAAACCTGTTTCTCCCACAGGAGGCCAGGTGGGGGAGAGAGAAGCAATTGCTTAGCTTCTTTATTATTTTTGTTTTTATTTTATTTTTGTAGTGCTAGTAATGGGGTTTGAATTCAAAGCCTGGGCACTGTCCTTTAGCTTTTTCTTTCAAAGTTGGCATTCTACCCCTGGAGCCACAGCTCTACATCCAACATTTTGCTGGTTAATTGGACATAAGATTCTGATGGGCATTTCTGCCTGGCTTGGCTTTGAACCTCTATTCTCCAATCTCAGCCTCCGAAGTAGCTAGGATTACAGACGGGAGCCATCAGGCACCTGGCTTGGGTGCTGATGTTTGTGGGAACTCTATTTGAACCCTCAGAATATGGGCACCTTCACATTCCCATCACCCATCACAGTCCCGATTACAACACACCAGAAGTGTATCAAACTTTACAGAAAATTCAAAGTCAGGGCATACTCTCACTGTAGGCAGGACCTCGCGGGCTTCTTCCCCAGCCCTCATTAACATGGTTTTGCTTTTATGTAGCCAGTCAGGCCCAGGTTTCCACAGAAAGTATATTTGAAGAAGTTCCAAGTTCAGTCTCCTGGGAAGAATTTTGCAAGGCTATCGAAGACAAAATGACCCCTTATTAAATCAAACCAATTATATTCCCGGAACCTCTCTCTCCTCCTTTGGTTTGGGCTCATCCCTCAAATAACAAATTTAGGTTCCCCAGCCTCTGTCAGTGCCCTGCTCCTCCAAACTCCAAGAAGGCCCCCGACCCGGGGTCACGCTCCGCCCACTGCCCATTAAGAGGAGACACTAGCAGACCAGGACTTTTAAGATCCAAGAGACTCAGTATGCGGTCTTGGACTTGGGGAGGGGCAAATGTGTGTGCCGAGTGAAAGAGAAGTTTTGAGCCTCCCTGCCTTTCTAGTCCCAGGACTCCAGGTGAGCCTGGGGATTCCAAGAGACCAGGGTCATGCTTCTCCACCCCATGAGCTCTGAGTTGGCTTCAGGCCTTGTTTCCCGGTACCAGACCTTCAACCCTTGGGTCTGGATTTCTTGGCCTGGGTTATAGTCTGAACTTGTCACAGCCCCAACTTGTTGCCATCCACTCCGTGAGCTTGTGGGGGTCCCGGGTGGAGCAGTGGCTTTTGGCTTTGAGATTTCCAGAGCACCTTCCGAACCCAGGGCTGGGCCTTTTCGCCCCAGGGAGGAAGGAGTTATACCGACCAGACCAGGCTCCGACTCCCCCGCTGGTGGTCTTTAAAGGTGTTTGAAGGCCAAGAGGTCCGCTGCTGCTTGCATAAAAAGTGTTCCCCCTTTTCCTTTTTTTCCACAAATTAAGAAGTTCAAGGATGGCCTTGCACACCCAGTATACCCTGACCCCCAGAAAGCTCCTCTGGGTTTCTTTCTGGGGTGCCATGGACGACAGTCCCGGGGATTGAAGTCAGACAGGCAGCCCCTAGTTCCAGCCCGCGGGTCACCGCCGCGCCCCTGCCCGTGGGTCCTCTGCGCCCCTCACTTTTCTCACCTTTGCAATGGGCCTGGCATCTTCCCCTGCCCCTAGGATCTGGGGCCGTGGGTTCCCAGCTCACCCTGCAGCGCGCGGTGTGTGTGGGGGGGGGTGCTTTCCATTCACGCGGGATAGAGGAATGGCGGGGCGGGATCGAGTGTCTCCATCAGCCCAAGCTCCAGGGCCTCCTGGCTCCTCCGACTTCGGCAATTTAGGGTCGAGGCAAATTTAGAGGAACATAATTGCCGTAATGAGCAACGGTTCGCGTTCTGCAGACGAGCGACGGCTCCAGCGAGGCGGTAGCTGCAGGCGAGGCGGGTGCGCCTCCCCGCCCCCCACCCCCTGCACCTTCGCGGGGCGCGCGCACGGGGCCCACCGCCCTGAGACCCCGGCCCCGCCGCCCGAGCCTTGGGCTGCCCGCCCTGGATTCCCCTCCGCCTTGCTGCCCCTTGGCTTTGCCACTTTGATTTCTTCCCATCTAGCCCTTTCTTTGTCCCCCCTCCCCCTTTCCCTTTCGGATTCCCCTTTCTCCAACTCGTGTGTACACAGAAAGTGCTCAATAAATGCGTGCCGCCTTTGGTAGGGTGATGATCCTGAGCCACATTCGGCCGGGTGTTGGCCCCTTACGGCTCTGGCCACCGCTTCTGGCTCTCTCCACCCTCCCCCACTGCTCCCTAATTTCCCCGATTTGGGGTGGGTCGGGTCTGTCACCGATCGATTTTCTGATCGGGAAAGAATCGCTGCGTCGGTGACGCCCGGGGGCTCCCCCTGCGTGCGGGCGACTGCGGTGGAGGACGGAACAATCCTTGGGGCCTACTGTGCGCTATCACCGGGCGTCCCCAACCCTGAAGAGGCCGCGGGAGATGGCGTGGCCTTCCCCAGGTCAGAATCGATTAGGGGCCGAGGGGTTGGAACCGGCTCCACTCCGGAGCCTCGCGTGGCCGGCGCGCCTGGGGCCGGGAGCTGCGGGTGCGTGCGGTGCCCGTGTCCCCACCGAGGAATGGGGGCCTTGGGTGTGAGTTTAACTCCTCGGAGCCCCGACCTCGAGCGAGCGCTGCCCCTTGGCAGTGATAGGGGTCCCGAGGTCCCCCAATCCCCGCCCGGCCGACGCCCGCGTTTTGTTGGGTCCGACACGGAGTCAGTTTGCAAACCCCGCTCTGACCACGCCGCGAGCCCAG